TTCCTCCAGGCAAATCCAAGTGCCAGCCCTTGCAGGTGATTGGCTGGCTGAAGCCCTGTGGAACACCGGGAAGCGATGAGTGGACGATTGAGCTCACCTGTGTCTGTAAAAGACAGATGAGCAGTCACTTGGCGTGGCGTCTTTAGACTGTGAGCGCAGTCTGGGTCTGGGAGAGTGCGGTCTGAGAATGCCTGCTAGTTAAACTGTGTGTGTAAAGCCGAGCATTGTCCAGCCCCGCTTGTTTGTTCCGGGGAGGTTAGCTGTGTAGAGTTTATTGTACTGAGTTATTTTTCCTCCCTTCCTCGAGCCTCGTTCAGCTATCTAGAGTGCCCTTGTGTCTTATTTCCTTTGTGTGGGTATTTAATGTTGCCCAGTGGCTTGTTGTGCGCAGCCCTGACAGTTTGCAGTTGTAAAATTGGTAATAAAATCCCTGTTTCTGTTAGATTCCTGTGTAAGGACTCTCCCTCTGGCCCTTAGCAGAGGGGGTCATAACAGAACTGAAAGCTTTCCAATGAGTTTTAATAAAGACATGATAGTGAGGACGTACAGCAATCATCCTTAAACACATTCTGTCATGGTGCTGGGCCATGTGGGCCCAGTATTCTTAGTTCCTTGTATTTTTGTATTTCATTCCTTAGGCCATGTTTCCTGAGTTGCCCTGTTGTGTTGTTCCCTAAGTGTTTTCCCTTCGTGACTCTTACTCCCTGTGTGCCCCTCTGTGTATTTATGAGCCCTCGTCTCTCTTTGTGTTTTATTCCATGTTTTCCCCAGCCCGTTATGTCTGTGTTCTCCCCGTGCTCTCTCTCCTCCTGTCTGAACCTCTGTACTTCCTGTTTTACTTTGCCCGTCTCCCGTCAGTGTTGTGTTCACTCCTGCCGTGTCTCGTTATGATTATCAGTGTCACCTGTGTTCCCCGTGTGCTCCCACTTCCCTCGTTAACCCTCTGTGTATTTATGTCTGCGTCTCCCTCATGCTGCGTGGATTTCCCTGTGTCTCTCTCTCCGAGTGTTAGTTTACTTTTCCCCATCCTGTCCTCATCCTGCCTGCCACACAGCGACCATGACAGACGAACGCGACCACGACATGGACCCAGCGACTCACAACCCCTCCGCTGAGCTCCGGGAGGATTTGATCTATACGGTGGAGTACCACTGTCAGGAGTGGGAGGCGCTGCCAGGAGACGAACACCGGGAGGTCGTAGCCGTCCGTCTACAGCGCATGGTGTCCGGACTCTCGTGGCTGTTCGGCGCGCTGCGCCCCCACATCCGGGACTTTCTCGTTTCCACCGTAGGCGTCCGCCCGGAGCTGCCTCTCCAGTGTGAGGGGTCGGAGGACGTTCAGCCCGGTCCGCTGGAGGATTCGCGGCCCGGCTCATCTCCTACCCCCTCTCGGCGAAAACGGCGTTCACGCCGCCGTCGCGCCAGTACTGCTGAGCGGGCTGCACCTGTGGGAGAGAGTGACTGTGCGTCACACTCTCAGCCCAAGTTTTCGGGACCCGAACTTCATGACCTATGCACTACTGTGAGTGGCTCCGTTTTCCCCGCCGTTGTGTTACCTGACTCTGATAATTCCGCCGCCTTTTGTTTGGACTCCAGAGACGCTGTACAGCGAGGCACCTCAGTGTCATATTATTCAGCCGTAGCTCTCACCAGTGATCTTTGTGTTTCTGAGCCATCAGATTCTTGTAATGCTCGCAGTATTTCCTTTGTTTCAGCCGGTATGAATGCTTCCCCTGTTGAGTTAGCTGAACCTAAGACTGTTATTTCACACCAGACTCCCCTACATACTGCTACCAGCATTGTAGCCCCGCAGAACTGTTTTGCTCAGCCTTTGGATTCTGAGGTTTTCCAGTCTGAGCCCAGCCACACACCATCAGTATCACCAGCTCTTGTATCTGTGACTCCCAGTGTTGCTCTTTCCGTTTCTCAGGCTGTGGTTTTTTCTGTGCCACAACTCGAAAGTGGTAACTCGGATGCTACCTGTGTAACCTCACCTTCTCTCGTGCCTGCTAAGCAAGAGACTGTTTCTGTTTTTCCTCGTGGACTCCTTGAAACTGTGTATTCAATGCCTGCTAAGGTTAAGAGCCGCAAGGCTTATTTCGCTATACATAGACTGGCAGGAGATTTAGGTTTGAGCACTGCAGAGCTGTTTGCACAGGTTAACTTTTCTGTTCCCCGGTCATGTCAGTTTAACTCTATGCGCCGTGCTTTTCGGCCAGGTTTCATGGACTCTATGTGCACTTCGTCTCGGACTGCTAATCATGACATGGACAACTTGAGTACAGCAGAGTTGCTAGAACCAGTCCATCATAAGCCTCTGTTTACTGAAACTGTGTTTGGCTCCACCAATTTGGTTCACCTAGTGACTGTTACTATTCCTGTGCTTCGCTCTCCGCCTCCAGTTCCTGTAACCAGGGCAGCACGGGCCCAGCTTTCCCTTGCTCCTGTGTCAGTTCCTCGGGAGAGGGTGGCTGAGGTCCAGCTGGTCCTGCTTCTGTCCCCAGCCTGGCAGGGGCTCTGTTCATCCCAGCCAGCAGCACCTCGTCTCCGCTGGCGGCTCTGCCCAGCCCGGCCAGCACCTCGTCTCCGCTGGAGGGTCCGAGGGGCCCGTTCAGCCTC